GGCTGGCTTTTTAAAGCTCACTATGTAGCCCAGGCTGGCCTCAAACTCACAACATTTCTCCTGCCTCAGCCTTTGGAGTGCTGGGATTACAAGTGTGTATCACGATGCCCAGCTCCCAGTGGCATTTATGAGAGGCTGTCTTTTCTCCAGCATGTGTTTCTGGCCCCTTTGAAAAAGATCAGATAGCTAATGTGCCTGGAGTTGTTTCTGTGTCCTCTTTCATTGATCCACTTGTCTATTTTTGTGCCACTACCATGCTGTTTTTATCACTGTAGCTTTGTTATATGACTTGATATCTGGCATTCTGATACCTCCTGCTTTGTTCTTGTTGCCCAGGGTTATTTTTGTTATTCTTGGTCTCTTCTGATTTCCTATGAATTTTAGAATTGTTTTCTCTAGTTTTGTGAGGGATGTTATTGGTACTTTCATTGGGATCACATATCTGTATATCAGTTTTAGAAGTATGGCAATTTTGACAATATTGGTTCTGCCTATACAGGAATAGAATATCTTTCCATTTTATGCTGTCTTCTTTCATCTCATTTTTCACAGTATTGTAATTTTCACTGTAGTGGTCTTTCACATTTTTGATTAGGTTAAGTCCTAGATTTTAAATTTTCTTGCTGGGCATGTTGGCACATGCCTGTAATCCCAGCACTTGGAAGGCTGAGGCAGGAGGATTGTTGCAAGTTCAAGACCAGCCTGGGCTACAAAGTGAGCTCAAGGCCAGTCTGAACTACACAGTGAGACCCTGTCTCAAAAAGACAAAAAACAAAAGTTAAAAAAATTTTTTTCTTGATGCTATTGTGAATGGAATTATTTTCCTGATTTCTTTCTCAGTGAGTTCATTATTGGTATACAGGAATGATACTAAATTTTCTGTGTTGACTTTGGATTCTGCTACATTGCTGAATTTGTTTATTAATTCTAGGAGTCTTTTGGTTAGGTCTTATAAGTAGAGAGGATCATGCCATCTGTAAATAATGATGTATGACTTCTTTCTTTCCCAAAAATATTCGTTTTATTTCTTTGTCTTGCCTGGTTGCTCTGGCTAATGTTTCAAGGATTATGTTAAACAGAAGTGGTGATAGTAGACATCTTTGTGTTGTTCCTGACCTAAGAGGGAAAGGTGTTAGCTTTTCCCACTTACTATGATGTGGGCAGTCAGTCTGGGGTAAGTGGCTTTTATCAGCTTGAGACATCTGTGTGTGCTTATTTTCTTCAGCGTTTTTATCATGAGTAGATATTGGATTTTTCAAGGCTTTTTCTGCATCTATTGAGATGAAAGTGTGATTTTTGTTCTTGCTTCTATTTATTTTATATATTCCATTTATTGATTTGTGTAGATTGAACCATCCTTACATCCCTGAGGTGAAGTCTGCTTGGTCATGATGTATGATCTTTTTGATGAGCTGTTGCATTCTGTGTGCCAGTATCTTGTGAAGGATTTTTGCATGTATCTTCATGAAACATGCAGTTCTTCTTTTTGGTTGGATCCTTGTGTAGTTTTGGAATCAGGGTGATGCTAGTTTCCAGGAATAACTTTGAGTATTCCTTTTCTTTTGATTTCATTGAGGAGTTTGAGGAGTATTGGCTTTAGATTTTCCCAGAAGTTCTTGTAAATTTGATAGTGAGTCTTTCAGGACCTCAACTTTCTTCAGTTGGTAGTTTTTAAAAAAATTTAATTGGCTGCCATTGGATTACTCAGGGTTTTTAAAAAATATATATATTCCTGGTTCAGTTTTAGTACTATTTTTTGTTTGTTTGAGTTTTTTTTCTTTTGTTTCTGGTTTTTTTTTTTTTTTGGTCTTTTTGAGACAGGGTCTCACTATGCGCTTCAGGCTGGTCTTGAACTGACTTTGTAGCTCAGGCTGGCCTTGAACTCGCAATGATACTCTTGCCTCAGCCTCCAGAGTGCTGGGATTACAGGCGTGCGCCACCATGCTTGGCCCCATCTTGTACTAGCTTTGGATTTAAATTGTTCTTGTTTTTCTAGGTGCTTGAGGTATGTCCTTAGGTTAGTCATTTGGGCTTGTTCTATTTTTCTGATGTGAGCATTCACAGCTATAAACTTCCCTCTTAGGACTGCTTTAACTGTGTACTATAAGTACTAGTACATTACACTGGCATTATTGAGTCCAGGAACAGTCAGATTTCTTTTTTCTGTGTGTGACCAATTGATCATTCAAGAGTATATTGTTTAACTCCATGTGTTTGCCCCACTTCTACGTTTTCTTTTGTCATTGATTTCTAGTTTCATTGCACTATGATCTGATAATATCCCTGGTATAACTTTGATTCTTTTACATTTATTTAGGCATGCTTTATTGGCTAGTACATGGTTTATTTTGGAGAAAATCTCATATGCTGCTGAGAGGAATGTGTATTTTGTTGTTGCTGTGTGGAACATTCTGTAGATATCTATTAAAATTATTATTATTATTATTATTATTTTGGTACTGGAAGTCGAACTCAGGACCTGGCACTTGCCAGGCAGACGCTGTGCCACTAGCTATATCCCTAGCCCTAAAATTATTTTTTGAAGGTTTTATTCAACCATACTTTTTGTTGATTTTTTCTAGTTGACCTATTTGTGACAGTGGGGAGTTGAGATCTCCCACTATAATTGTATTTATATTTATGTCTAGGAGTGTTTGTTTGATGAATTTGGGTGCATTGTTGCCAGTGGAAACATACTTATAATTGTCTCTTCCTGTTACAGTGTTCATTTAACCAAAATGTAGTGACCGTTGTGTCTTCTGATCAGGTTTGGCTTGAAGTCCTCTTTGTTTCAAAATAGCATAATTACTCCTTTTTTTCTTTGGGTTCTCATTGTATGGAATATTGTGAGGGTTTTTTTTTTTTGTTGTTGTTTGTTTCTTTTTTCCGGTTCTGGGAATCAAACTCACGACCTTGCGCTTGCCAGGCAGGCGCTGTGCTGCTGAGCTAAATCCCCAGCCCCTATTGTGAGTTTTTTGAATCTGTTAATTTCTTTTAGGATATAGCTTGTCATTGAGTTTTGCCTTTTGATCCATTTTGCCACTGTGTCTTTAGATTGGAGAGCTGAGCCTATTATCAATGAGAGTTATTACTGAAAGTTACTGATTTAATCCTGTAATTGTATTACTTTCCTGTTGCTGATTTCCTTTCCTTCCCATTTGAAGAAGTGCTTAGCTTGCTTTGTGTATTCATTCTAGTAGACGTTTTGGCATTGCCAATTTAATTGTCTCTTTCTACAATATCCTTGAGAACTTTTTGTCTTTTTGAGACAGGATCTCGCTATGCAGTTCAGGCTGCCCTTGAGCTCACTTTGTAGCCCAGGCTGGTCTTGAACTTGCAATGATCCTCCTGCCTCAGCCTCCCGAGTGCTGGGATTACAGGTGTGCACCACCACGCCCAGCTCCTTGAGAATTTTTTGGAGTGCTGGTTTGGAGGCAATGAATTTCTTAAAATGCTTGTTGTCATGGAAACAGCTCACTCCTCCATATTTTTTTCCTCCATCAATTTTTAAGCATTGTTTTGCAGAATATATTGGTCTGGGTTACAAGTTGTTTTCTTCTGTGGCGTGAGACACTTCCTTGTATGCCCTCCGTGCTTTTAAGGTTTGTATTCAGACGTGTGCTGTAATTCTCTTGGGTTTAGCTTGATCTTGAAAGCGGCCTACAAGGCTGTCAGCAATGAATGGGTAGGAAAACCTGGTATTTATACATAACAGAGTACTACAAAGTCATAGCGAAAGATAAATTTGAGTCATATGTGGGAAAATGGGTGAACCTTGAGACAATCACGTTAGGTGGGCTGAATCACACAGACAATATCACGTGGTTTAAATATCACGTGGTTTTTCCTATTTGAGAAACCCCAAATATAAATAATATAAAGAGCAAAATGAAAGATAAAAAGAAACAGGGAGAGAGATCTTGCAAATGACGAAGGAACCAAGAGAAAAGGGAAGGGGGGCGGGGAGAAGAAGTAATAAAAGAATCCAATGTGTTATACACATGTGCCAGCTCCTCATGGTGAATGTAATTGCTATATACAGCAAACATGTACTAGCAAAAATTAGAAAGGAGGCTGGGCGTGGTGGCACACGCCTGTAATCCTAGTACTCAGGAGGCTGAAGCAGGAGGGTTGTTGTGAGTTCAATACCAGCCTGGGCTACAAACTGAGCTAAAGGCCAGCCTGAACTGCATAGAGAGACCCTGTCTCGAAAAGACAAAAACAACAACAACAAAAAAATCAGAAAGGGAGCTGGGCTTGGTGGCACACACCTCTAAACCCAGCGCTTGGGAGGCTGAGGCAGAACAACTGCCATGAGTTCATGGCCAGCCTGGGCTACATAAGTGAGTTCAAGGCCAGTCTGTACTATATAGTGAGACCCTGTCTCAAATTAAAAAAACAAAGCAAAACAAATGCCAGTCTATGTCTTGAATACATTAGAAGCATCCATTACATGTGTAAGAAAAATGACATAGTAGGTGTCGTAAAAGGCAAAGAAAGCATTCTCTCTTGTCTACTCAGTGTGAAAATAGTTTCGCACAAAAGTGTATGCAGCCAGAGCGGAGTTTTAGGGCCTTTAATTTGGCACATGAGTTATTTAGTCCATGTGGGCGCTTAAAGCACCATATGGTGGACTCCTTGGCTGTCAGTTTCTAGAAAGTTGTAACAGCTGGAAAGCTGGAAGAAGTACATTTGAGGCATAATAGTGTTGGATCACAAGACCAAAAGAAATACACTCTTTTTTGTTTTAATTTTAAACAGGGTCTTTTCAGTCTGGTCTTGAACTCACTATGTAGCCCAGGCTGACCTTGAACTCTTGGTGACCCTCCTGCCTCAGCCTCCCAAGTGCTATGATTACAGGCTTGTACCACGCCTGGCTTAATATATGTGCTGCCAAAGTGTGCACACCATGCCCAGCAAGCTTCTTTAAACTTAATGGGAATAAGAAATGGGCCGAGCGTGGTTGTGTGAAGCCTTCTTTCTTGGAGGATATCCTACATATGCTTGAGCTAGGTTAAGGGAATTTCTGTTACTAAGGTAGTTGCAGAAAAGTTTTTTTTTTTTTGTACCAGGAATTGAACTTGAGACTTCATGCTTGTCAGGCAGAGGCACTGTGCCGCTGAGCTAAATCCCCAGGCCCTTAAGTTATCTTTTGTTTGTTTTTTTGGGGTTTTTTTTTTTTTGAGACATGGTCTCGCTATGCAGTTCAGGCTGGCCTTGAGCTCACTTTGTAGCCCAGGCTGGTCTCAAACTCACAACAATCCCCCTGCCTCAGCCTCCCAAGTGCTGGGATTACAGGCATGCACCACCACACCTGGCTCTTGTCACAGAAAAGCTGAGTGGAAGCAAATCCTCCTGGAAGACTCGTGGCCTCTACTATTTTGATGACTCCTATGGTGGGTCCTCCAAGTTTAAGCATCTCACTGAGTGTGACATTTTTTTTTCCTGAGTATGACATTTTGGGGCTGGAGATTTAGCTCAGTGGCACAGCCCCTGCCTGGCAAGTGCAAGGTCGTGAGTTGGATTCCTGGTACCGGAAAAGAACCAAAAAAAAAAAAAAGACATTTTGAAAACATGGACTATGTCACAGCTTTGTCACCATGGCTTTGCCTTTATCCATCCTCGGTGTACTGGTGAAGAGTACTAGGTGTACTGCAGTCTGCCTGGGCAAAGAAAGTCATTAAAGAACAGAAGTGGGCTGGGGACATACTTCAGTTGGTAGAGTGTGTGCCCTGGGCTCAATACCCAAGGCAGTGAAAGCAAAGAAAAAGAAGAAGGTGGGGGAGAGAAAAACAAGGGTGTGGTGGTGGGACAGTTCTCATTTTGAAGTTTGAAACAGTGGCAATTACAGTTGGGCGCATTGTGGCTGGCGTTCATCTCATTATTTTCGAATAGTAAGAGAATATGGTTTCACTCACTTTCTTTTAGCTAACAACTGGTAGACGATGACTTTGTGACTTGACTTCAATGAAAGCCGATGACATAGGCAAAGTTAGGTTCGCAGTTGTTGCTTTGATCACTCTCCCCTGGTAATCTTTGTTCCTCATTTTGATAGAAAGGAAAGGACTTCGGATTTTTTCCCAGAGATGCAGTCCAGATTGAAGAGGTGTTCATATCTGAAGAAGTTCAAGTTTCAACTAAAGTGAGTAAATTCATGCTCGGCTCTTAACTGCATTTAAAATTTCTTGGCTAAAATGGTTTTCAAGAAGTGTCCGTTGTTCACTACCTCATGTAGTGGATGCAGGCAACAGTTGGTCTGAGGACTTCCTTAGGCACACTTTGCACATGTAAATGGAACGAGGCAAAACAAAACTAACGACTGTTAAATATTTTACTTTCTGATCAATTAAGAAACAGGCAACAGAGTGTAATGGTAAAATGCATGAATTCTAAGATGCACTCAGTTAAAGCCCCGCCTAGCCACTCAGAGCAGTGTGACCTGATATCCTCCAAATTCTTCAACTGTACGAGAGTGATGAGTCCAATATGGCTACCTCAGTTTTACTGAGGAATAAATGAGTTACGTAAAGCATGTAGATGAACATGTTTTTTTAAGATTTTGTTTTGAGACGAGGTCTTCCTGTGCAGTTCAGGCTGGTCTTGAACTCACTATGTAGCACAGGGTGGCCTTGAATTCATGAAGTCCTCCTGACACTCAGGTTCCTGAGTGCTGACACTATAGCACTGTGCCACTGTGCCTGGCTAGATGAGCATTTAGATGTAATCATTACTACTATTGTCATACTAGCCTAAATTTTTTTTTTCTACCACACTCCCGAGGCCTGTACTACCTCTTTCAGTATTGGAGTTTTTTTGTTTGTTTCGCTTTGTTTTGCTTTGCTTTGCTTTTTTTTTTTTTTTTTTTTTTTTTTTTTTTTGTCTTTTTGAGACAGGGTCTTGCTACACAGTTGAGGCTGCCCTTGAGCTCACTTTGTAGTAGCCAGGCTGGTTTTGAACTCGCAGTGATCCTCCTGCCTCAGCCTCCTGAGTGCTGGATCTTTTTTTTTTTTTTTGGTACCAGGAATCAGACTCAGGACCTTGCGCTTGCCAGGCAGGCGCTTGTGCTGCTGCACTATAGCCCCCACCCATAGATAATCCTTTCCGTTTTTTCTGTTGAGTGGTTTTTTTTGTTGTTGTTGTTTTTTTCCCATGGCACCACACGTTGAACTCAGGACCTTGCACTTGCCAGGAAAGCACCTATACCACCCCGGCCCCCTGAATGCTGGGATTACAGGTGTGTGCCACCATGCCCAGCTGAGTTGACTTTTTTTTTTAGAACAAGGTCTCACTATGTATTCCAGGCTAGCCTTGAAATCACTGTGGAGGGGGCTGGGGATATAGCTCAGTGCAGTAAATGCCTGCCTGGCAAGCATAAGGTCCTGAGTTTGATTCCTGGGACCCCAAAAGAAAAAAAAAAAAGAAATCACTATGGAGCCCAGGCTGGCCTCCCACTTCCAGCAGTCCTCCTGCCTCAGCCTCCCGAGTGCTGGGATTACAGGCGTGCGCCACCATGCCCAGTTTGGTGTTGGAATTTTTGCTGAGTTTATTAATGTTGGGCTTGATAATAAAAAAGAAAATGAAAAAGTGACTTTTTAATACATAACCTTGACCGCCCACTTAATTCAGTCCCCGGGTTAAGGTCAGTATGAAGTGAGTCTGTCTAATTAAACAAACTGACATTGCCTGGCTCTTTCCCAGTGCAAACTCCGGGATTAACTGTTCATTTACTCTGTAAAACTGGTCCATCCGTTCTATCTGTAATGTGTCTGGGATATATTGCCTCTCTTCGTTTCTCCTCTCACGGTACCCCTCATTCAAGGCACCCTCATTTTCTAACTGTTCTCCTTGCCTCGCCTTTTGTCTTCTTTTAATCCATTCTCCATACAGCAAAAGAGTTGATAAAAACAAAAAAATAAAAACAAATGTCCGATCCTGCATTCCTTAGGTTAAAGTCCTTTCAGGGCATTTCAATGGACTGGGTAACGCCAGATGCCTTATTTGGCCTCAGAGGCCCCCATGCTCAGCTCTGCCCTCTCCCCTCGCTGGCCCTGCTCCTGGCCAAACTGACCTTTGGGTCATCTATGTTCCTGGCCAGGTCTTCCTGGTTCAGCTCTTTCTCAGCCCAGGGAGCCAAACAGGCTATTTCTTCTGATTCAGAGTCTTCCCCCATATTCTTCACTTGGCTAGGTCCCGCTTATCCTTTAGATCACAGTCTAGCTGGGTGTAGTGATGCATGCCTGTAATCCCAGTATCTGGCAGGCAGAGGCAGGAGGGTTGCCCAGAGTTTGAGGCCAGCCTGCACTACAAAGTGAGACCATGTCTCAAAACACCAGACCTCACTTAGGCTGGGGATGTAGCTCAGTGGCACGAGCGCCTGCATGGCAAGCACAAGGTCTTGAGTTCAATTCCCAGTACCAGAAAAAAAAAAAAAAAAAAGGAATGTTAAAAACCCACACCTCCCCAACCCCTAAAATCACAGCTTAAAATAAACCCTAGTGTCTCAGAGAAGCTGTCCATGGTGACTCTGAGGGAACTGTTGCTTTTTGATCATGGTTTCCTGTTTCTTTCCCCGATGGCACGGGTTGCAATTTTCAGTTACTTTTTGTATTGTTTGCTGTAGAGTCCTAAACACCTAGCACAGTGTCAGAAAAGTAGTAAACATACAATTACCTGGGTTTATTATTTTTCTTTTTGCTTTTTGAGAAGGGCCTCATTGTGTTACCCAGCTGGCCCTGAACTCCCTATCCTCCTCCCTTAGCCTCCTGAGTAATCAAAGAGCTGCTATTTGGAGCACATGACACCACAGCCATCGTACCCCAGATTCTTAGGTCAAATTCCTGGGAAACATAGACTTTTTGCCTCCAAGGAGTTTTCTGAGGAGCACTCTTGGGGATAGGACCTGTGAAGGAAACAGAAGAAAATGTGGGATTGGGCAGCAGAGAAGTCGAAATGGCATGCAGTTAAAATAAATGTTGTCAGTTCCACAAGGAATAGGGTGGTCCTTCAGAGTTATCCTGAATAGAGGCAAGGTGGCTAAACTGTCTGCCTTGAACTGTGGGGTAGATGTAAGGCTGTCTGGTGTGGTATAACTGTGAGCTGGGCTGGGATAGCGTTTACTAGGGGCAGTCAGAAACTGACAAGACCACTGTCTTGGTCTGTGTTGTGTTGCTTTAACAGAACACCAGAGACTGGGAAAGTTAAACAATAAAGAAGCTTATTTCTTACAATTCCGAATGCTGGCACCAAGGTGCTGGCATCTGAAAAGAGCTTTCTTGTTGTGTCATTGCAAGATGGAAGGTGGGAAGGTGAGGGAGAACTAGAGGGGGATAAGCTTATCTTTTGACAAGGAAGCCGCTCTTGGATAATATGCCCACTCCTGCAATAACTGCACTGACCCTGTTGCTCTGGGCTCATGGCCTTCTCACTTCTTTGATCCTGCTCCTCATGCTGCTGTACTGAGGATTACGTGTTTAACACATGCTTTTTGGGCAATACATTGAAACCATCGAGCCCTTCCCCGACATACCGCAGAGAAGACTCTGTCACAGACTCTTAGGAGGTGCAAGATGTCATGAGTATGCATGCCTTTTCATCAGAGCTTATTTGCAGAATATACTCAAAGCATTGATTCTGTCCACTTGTCAACTATTTAATAACAAATACACTGGGATATCGAAGGGTTTTCCTTGGGGTTTATATCATGAGCCCCTAGAAGTAAATTGTGATACAAATGTTTGAGATCTGACTTCAGCTTTTGTTCTTCTGCCAAACTCACCGTGTGTTCTTGGGAAGATCATAGTCGTCCCTTTTAAATGGTTCGGAGAGAAACAAGGACCTGTAGTACATTTATGCCAACCACGATTTTTTTTTTTCTTTTAGGAATCTGATTTTCTTTGTCTTCTTGGAGTAAGCTACATGTTTGAAAATGAAGATAGTGAGTTAAACCATGATAATAGGGACAATATAGATCCATATGAAGAGGATGGAGACCCAACATATAGTATGTACGAAAGTGATTTCCAGGGAGAACCTGGATTTTACACAACTCCTCCAAGTACTTTGTTTGAAGAGCAGTCTCCAGCATCAGAGGCGCCTGCGGATATCAGAAGTGCCGGGGAATCAGGTGACTGGGAAGAGGCAGAGGCTAGCAGCCTGGAACAGGATCATATCCCAGAAGAGGATGATATTTCACCACCCTTCCCTGCGCCAGAAGTGCAAGGACGATTCGGAGTAGGGGCAGAACAAGCTCAAGAGAAGGCCGTTGAATCAGTTACCGAACCTGTCCAAGAAACCTCATTTCGAAGTAGAAAATTAGCAGTGGAAGGTGAGAATGACCTAGAGGAATTAAACAGCGGTGAGCCCCAAACAGAACATAAGCGCGAGCCTGAATCAGAATTTGAATCATTGCCAGAGGAACAACCTGAACGAGCCTTGGACTCAGAGCACATTCTCCAACCTCAAGCCACTGGCTGGTTTGGTAGTGGATTTACAAGTTACTTAGGTTTTGGTGTGGAGGATACAGGCCTTGAGTTATTATCCGAAGAAAGTGACCTACCACTACAAGACATTCCCAGTTCCGTACCCTCTGATGAAGAAGCCCTGGTTCCACATACAGAAATATTAACAGAAAAAGAAGACAGAGTTACTAATGATAGCTCCATCCTCAAGCCAGATTGGTTTAATTTTGGCTTTGGTGTGCTAAGCTTTGCCTATGCCAATGAAGAAAAAATTATATCAAACGATGGGAAAAAAGAAGAAGACAGGGTAGATCAACACGAGCACCCCCGTGCAAGTGAACTTGACGCTGATAAGGATCAGGATATAAAAATGACAGAAAATGTAGAAACAGAAGAGCAAACAGAAAAGGAAAAAGCCCTTGAGAAAACAGATGACTCCGGTACCATACCATATTTGAAAAAGTTCTTGTATAATTTTGATAACCCTTGGAGCTTCAAGAATGTTCCGCAAGAAACAGAATCGCCACTTCCCAAAGAGACACTGGATCAAAATAATATAGTCGAACGTGGTGAAACGGAAGATTTTTCAGTTGAAAATGATCCTACAGATAATGTGAAAGATCCTGTCATGTTGGAAAGCAGCTACCGTCAATCAGGTTGGTATGAAAATATTTATAATGTGTTTGTCAACATAATTTATTTTTATAGTTCAAATTAGATGAAAAAAATTCACGAATTCCTGCTTTTCAAAATAGTGAATAATCAACAGCCATCATCCTTTGATCAATTTCTGGTTTACTCAGGAACTTAGACTGTAATATGATAAAATAAAATCCCAAGGGAGAGAATGACTAGAGTTGTTTTGATGTTCTGAGAGGATCTTATGGTATTTTACAATAACTTCTGTGATCAAAGTATTATATGCAAATAGGTTTAAAAGTTTAAATAGTACTAAGAAAACAAAAGCAGTTTCTGTTCCCTCTGTCATCTTTACACCCACGTTTGTCCCAGGGACAATAACTTCTGGTATTTTTTTTTAAAGCAAAACTCTCTTTAGTATTTTTTTCTAGTTTTTCTAAATACACTCTATTATTCTCCTTTGATTTATCTATTTTGGAAAATGTCTATTTTCTTCCTATCCTGGTAGATGAGATTTTCACTCGTACTCCACTTTCTGGACCTTCCCCGAAAGGTAACCATATTTGAATGGTTACCTTAGGGATTTAGGTTAAGGGAAATGCAATAATTCATAATAGTCTTGATTCTTATTATATTTTATTTTAGGTCTGCAGTTATGCTTTGTTCTGTTTTTCCTAAGTAGCAGTATAACATTTTTCTCTAAGTGTACCTGACAGTAGCAAGCAAAAATAAGGTGAAGAGTTTTCAACTTTCTCCCTCAATATCTCAATTCTGGGAGGATATGGAAGAGAAAGTATTAGAAAATGTCTAGATATAGCTGTCCAAGCTGTGTACAAGTCCTCAAGTAGTGATCAACTCATTTAACAACCTAGTCGCGGGAACGGAACTTGGTCGTTAAAGGAGCCTCTGCATTGATTTCCCCTCGATCTCTCGCATGGTGCTCTCCTGCATGGGGCACGAAAGAGGAAAGCAAACACCTGCGGCTGGTCACGGTAGCAGGGATTTCACTGGGAGCTGAGCACATCTTGGAGTTGCCATTTTTATGTTCTGTTTCTATTAGTATTTGCCTTGTACAGAGCAGCGCAAACTTGCACAATGCCATTAGGTTGCTCCTGTGAACTTTCTCTCTTCTTTTTCCAGACAGGGTCATCTCTGTGGTCCTGGCTGGCCTCAGAGTTTCTCTAATAGCCTAAACTGGCCCTGAATCTGCAGTCCTCCTGCCTTAGCCTCTCAGCATCAGAGTGCTGAGAGTGCAGACATGCCTTCCTGTGCCCAGCTCTGTGAATGCTTCCTTGATAATTTCTAAAGTAAATTTGTAATTCCTAAAATATCTTAAATAACGCTGTCAAGAATATATTTTAGAATTGCATTTTTTTCTGTTTTGTACAACATACTAGTAAATTAGAAAATAATGTACTAATATAATGTACTCTAAACTATAAAGCATCCTGTAAGTACTAATGAGTAATACTTTTTTTTGAGACGGGGTTTTACTCTGCATTCCAGGCTGGCTTTGAGCTCACTGTGTAGCCCAAGCTGGCATCAAACTGTTCAAGGTCCTCCTGTCTCAGCCTCCATAGTGCTGGGATTGCAGGTGTGAGTCACCATGCCCGGCTAAGAATTACTTTTTTTTGGTACTAGGAATCGGACTCAGGACTTTGCACTTGCCAACCAGGCACTGCATCACTGAGCTATATCTCCGGCCCAAGAATTACTTTCAATCATATCTTCCTCCAACATTTTCACTTAGTTTTCATTTGATTGTGGAATTTTAAAGGTTTCTGTTAATTCATTATTTCTTTTAATATGCGGTACTCCTTGGTAAAATGACACACAAATATTAATGCCATTAAACATTTAAGTGATAATGGTTTTTGTAGTAATAGTGTATATTTGCAAATACATATGATCTATATAATCAGATTTTGGAACTTGGAAATTGATTGCTGTAAGTTTTAGTGTTGTCTTTCTTTGCATAACTGTTTGTTCCATTTATTAAATAGATTTTGTTTTCAGTATCAAGTAGTGTGTAGCTACTATAAATAATTTTGGTCATTTTGACTCCTTCTCTAACAGATAAAGTAAGAAGAGATTCTGTCTTTCTTTCTTTCTTTC